TGAGACGGAGGCTTAGCATTGTAATTGTAAGAGGGAGGCTTAGCATTATAAGTGTGAGAGGGTGGCTTAGCATTGTAAGTGTGAGAGGAGGCTTAGCATTGTAAGTGTGAATGGAGGGTTAGCATTGTAAGTATGAGAGGGAAGCTTAGTATTATAAGTGTGAGAGGGAGGCTAAGTATTGTGAGACGGAGGCTTAGCATTGTAATTGCAAGAGGGAGGCTTAGCATTGTAAGTGTGAGAGGAGGCTTAGTATTGTAAGTGTGAAAGGGAGGCTTAGCATTGAAAGTGTGAGAGTAGGCTTATCATTGTAAGTGTGCGAATGATGGTTAGTATTTTTAGTATGAGAGGAGGATTAGCATTGTAAGTGTGAGAGGGGGCTTAGCATTGTAAGTGTGAGAATGAGGCTTAGTATCGTAAGTGTGAGAGGAGGCTTAGCATTAAAAGTGTGAGAATGAGGCTTAGTATCGTAAGTATGAGAGGAGGCTTAGCATTTAAAGTGTGAGAATGAGGCTTAGGATTGTAATTGTGAGAGGATGCTTATCGTTGTAAGTGTGATAATGAGGCTTATTATTGTATTCGTGAGAGGGAGGCTTAGTATTGTAAATATGAGAGGGACTGGCTTAGCATTGTAAGTGTGAGAGGATGCTTATCATTGTAAGTGTGAGAGAGTGGCTTAGTTTTGTAATTGTGAGAGGGAGGCTTATTATTGTATGTGTGAGAGGAGGCTTAATATTGTTGTGCATAGAAAGAAGGTATAGCGTGGAGTGTTGTGGGTATTACATTGCATAAAGGATATTGAGTATTGTGGTTTAAATTTTGATGATTCATGATTACCTAAAAAAACTTTGTCTGTTTTGTAGATTTTTGGGTGACGTAGAACTTAAGACATAACTATGAGTGTTGACGAAGAGAAGTCTCCTGTCAGTGAAATGGAGTTAAATGTAAGAAATGTTTGTACATGCATGTAACCTCAGTTTCAAGGTCATGCATACTTCTCTGCTAATTATATATACATTTATAAACACTTTATATGGCAATAAACATATTAATTAGTGACTGTGTATTAAAACCACATGAAAAAGTTCATGACCACCATCTAGTCAGATGGATTTCTGTTTAATAAAAGAATTTACCATAGTTTTACTTGCTGTTTTTATAACCACCAAATGATCTGCCCCCAATTAATTTAGAGGTATACTGCAATTAGCGTTGGTCGCATAGAAAACATTTTTCTGGAGATTTTTTTGTAAATTACCTGATCAATTTAAAAACAAAATGTACACATAACTGGTTCCTCACATTCTGACTCGGATAACAGTAACAAAATACAGGGAGCGATATATGAGGTATATAACATGTGTAACAAACAACCACGGTAAAGTATGAGATGGCTGCCTCAACCTCTGATTGGCTCATAGATTTATTTAATGGGGGGGGGGGGGGGGGGGGGGGGGGGCTCGAGGATTCAATTGTAATTTTTAGTGTTGCTTCTTTGCTTCTAAATGGAAAATTACAGTAATTTTAGGGACATTTATAAAGACGAAAACGCTGTATAGCTGCATTACTCATCACTTAATATGGATATTCCCTTGAATTGCATTTTTTTGCTATTTTCTTTGGGGATTGTTGTTGTTAGCTAGCCCATGAATTACAGTTCTAATTAACATTGACAATGAAGAGGCTTGTGTGTAAACTTGTTTAAGTCTATGTACTGTATTGATAACTCATTTTTCTTCTTTACGGGTACCACTCTTACTCATAAGACAAGTTTCTTTATCATTGATTGGTTAAGGCCAAACAGTAATCCTTTTTCAATATCTGGGGTTTTGACTTTAGGCTCTGTATGTTATTGTCCTAGAATAGGCTAGTTACAATACAGATCAGCTTCTGTATACTCCTTCATGTAAATGTGTACTTACTATAAGTGATCGTTTTCTTTCAGATGCCCCGGACTCCAGTCTTTGAGAAGTCCAGATCACTATGGGGCCACGTGAAGATGTTACCCTTACAAATTCAGCGTCAGTTGCTGGATCAGTACCGAGATCCCTTCACTGTTGAGGTCCGTGACAAGCTGGCTGACCTTATAGAACAGCTGCCATGGTAGGTCACAGAACAAAAAAAAGGGTATCACATTGGCTCACATAATAAAGTTGTCATAGTTGGTCAGAGAACATAAACAGCAGCAGTGATCACTTTGGTTCAAACCAATAGAGCTCTTTTTAATTGATTCCTTTATTTTTTTATTTTTTTATATTTATCACTTTCATAAAATGCAGGCATTATAACCTCTTTCTGTTATGATTCCAGGAGCGAGGTGAATGAGGAGAACTCCGGTAATGTAGAGGACGAAGGATATGCTAATCAGATGCTAGAATCAGTGCTAAACAAACTCAGTGAAACCATTCATAGCACCACTGAGTTTGTCCTCAAAACAAAACTGCGGGATTCTGAACACAAACTCAGGGTAGGTATATTAACTCTAGCATGTTTTGTTATTCTGTGTTGGAAAGCATAGCTATATGGATGCAGTCACTGACGTTAACTAGGATCTTAAGGTGATACAGTGAATCCCCTGTATTTTAAAACTTAATAAGCAGGTAACTTGTATCATTCAATTACCATGTCATATATATCATGGAGTCAAGGTCAAGAGAGGTTATGATTATTAAAAAATCTACCATGACTTCAAAACATTATACAGACAGCAAATATGTATAAATAGAAACCAAGTTGCCATATACAAGGTATTGTTGATTACTCAGAAAATGATTGGGCAGAGGAAGCCATTTCTATACCTAACGTAAGGTGTGTTTATTATGTTTTTTTGTCTGACTATCTGCAATGTCATGTTTGGCTCATAATTCCATAAAATTTACTTGGATTCAAATTAAATACTTTATTGGATTGTTGCCCATAACCCAAGGGTGTGTAATGATCTTGATCCAAGGTCATGGCTCCAAGGTAAAGGTCAATAGGTATCAGCTACTTCAGACTGTTCACAATTCATATAGACCCATACATTTGTATTTCTTGCTTGAATTCTTATTAAACTTTTGAAGGTTGCTGTCCATATTCTAAGAATGTATAACATTTTCAAGGTTGATAACAGTTTGTAATAAACCAGAACCTAGGTGTAATTTCATTACATCATGCGCAGGCGTATTATACACCCATTCAACTGTGTGGGTTTTTTTTGGGTTTTTTTCTTTGAATGGTTTTTATTTGTGCAATTTGGAAATTTTGCTGGGAAGTCTACCCAATTTGCTTTGGTACAAAATGTTGTATATTCATTGTATGTTGTACATATGTTGTAACTTATGTGTTCTGATTATAGCAAAGATACATGGGGAATGCTCTAGAGTTTGTCAAGTTAGTAAAGAGCTACCTATCCCAGGAGGAGCGTGCTGTAGCTCAGGCGGAAAATGTAAGTTTAAAATCTGTTCTCTACTCTTTCTTGATGTATTTATCATGTGTTTGTTGGTATCTCATTAAAACTTGGTTTGTGATGTGAGAAATTACCAGTCCTATACCATCAAACCTCATTGATCTAATCACATCCCCTTCTTACTAAATCACATCCCCTTCTTACTAAATCACATCCCCTTCATACTAAATCACATCCCCTTCATACTAAATCACATCCCCTACTTACTAAATCACTTCCCCTTCTTACTAAATCACATCCCCTTCTTACTAAATCACTTCCCCTTCTTACTAAATCACATCCCCTTCTTACTAAATCACTTCCTTCTTACTAAATCACATCCCCTTCTTACTAAATCACATCCCCTTCTTACTAAATTAGCTTGAAACAGTTGGATTATTGGGACATTTTCATCTCATGAATGCAATCTGGTAGATACAGTGAAATATAAACAGGACAGACTTCAAAACTGTCTACAGATGCTTTTTAAAGGATCAGTTTTACTTTTTGTGATCATCATTACAAATGGTTCTTAACCCATTTTGAAGAATTAATGTGACCAAACTAATAACTGTTATACAAATGTGATCAGGCTACATCTGCGGATGGAGGAGACACACAGTATCACCGCCAGATTGATCTCATTCAAAGGATTGAAAGTTTACAGGGCAGAACTCAGGTATGTATATAACATTATAAGGGAAAAACAAATGTAAGGGGTTATTATTTCAGGGTAGCAACTTCTGGGGGAGACAATTTCAGGGTTGATTCTTACATGTTAGCCTTTATAAGAGAGACACTGACAGGGCAGACAATAACAAGAGACAATAACATGGTAGACAAATTACTGGGTAGACAAATTACTGTGTAGACAATTACTGTGTAGACAATTACTGTGTAGACAAATTACTGGGTAGACAAATTACTGGGTAGACAAATTACTGTGTAGACAATTACTGTGTAGACAATTACTGTGTAGACAAATTACTGGGTAGACAATTACTGTGTAGACAAATTACTGGGTAGACAACTACTGTGTAGACAATTACTGTGTAGATAATTACTGTGTAGACAATTACTGTGTAGACAATTACTGTGTAGACAAATGACATGGTAGACAATTACTGTGTAGACAATTACTGTGTGTAACATTACTGTGTAGACAATCACAGTGTAGACAATTACTGGATAGAAAGTTCATGTGTAGACAATCACAGTGTATACAATTACTGTGTGTAACATTACTGTGTAGACAATTACTGTGTAGACAATTACGGTGTAGATAATTACTGTGTAGATAATTACTGTGTAGACAATTACTGTGTAGACAATTACTGTGTAGACATTTTACTGTGTAGACAATTACTGGAAAGAAAATTACAGTGCAGAAAATAACTGGGTAGATAATTACTGTGTGGATAATTACTGTGTAGACAATTACTGGATAGAAAGTTGTTGTTTAGACAATTACTGTGTAGATAATTTCTGAGTAGACGATTACTGTGTGGACAATAACTGTGTAGATAATTACTGTGTAGACAATTACTGTGTAGATAATTACTGTGTAGATAATTACTGTGTAGACAATTACTGTGTAGATAATTACTGTGTAGATAATTACTGTGTAGACAATTACTGTGTAGATAATTACTGTGTAGACAATTACTGTGTGTAATATTACAGTGTAGACAATTACTGGATAGAAAGTTCATGTGTAGACAATCACAGTGTATACAATTACTGTGTAGACAATTACAGCATAGACAATTACTGGATAGAAAGTTGTTGTGTAGACAATTACTGTGTAGACAATGACGGTAGATAATGACTGTGTAGACAATTACTGTGTGTAATATTACAGTGGAGACAATTACTGGATAGAAAGTTGTTGTTTAGACAATTACTGTGTAGATAATTTCTGAGTAGAGGATTACTGTGTGGACAATAACTGTGTAGATAATTACTGTGTATACAATTACTGTGTAGACAATTACAGTATAGACAATTACTGTGTAGATAATTACCGTGTAGACAATTACTGTGTAGACAATTACAGTATAGACAATTACTGGAAAGAAAGTTAATGTGTAGACAATCTCAGTGTAGACAATTACTGGATAGAAAATGACTGCAGACAATTACTGGGTAGACAATTACTGTGTGGACTCTTACTGTGTAGACAATTACTGTGTAGACAATTTACTGTGTAGACAATTACTGTGTAGATAATTACTGTGTAGACAATTACTGTGTAGA